ACAGGAACATAAATACTCAACCAAAACAAAAGAGACAAAACTGGAATCTCGTCCTAGATGATCAGTGCCCCATTGATCCCTTGAACTGTTGCCTCCATTCCTTCACACAAGCTGCATTTCTGTTTACTTTCAACATATAATTGATGTGCATGTGCATGACAGCGCAGCAGGAAAAGAACTGTAAAATGCAAAGAGGTTTGTCAGAAGTTTGGCTCTGACTTTCCTCGCACAATAGACTATAAATCCAGGAAGCCCCTGACATATGTGAAATATTTCAGGCCTGGATGCCAAATGTCTCTGTAAATTTGCAACAATCTACTACACAAACCTAGTAAAAGCTAACGTAGGAGTTAAAAATAAAAATAAAAAGCGCACTCTCACACCTTAAAATTATATTGACTCACTGGCTTTAAGGGAAAGCTTTAACACTAAGGGAAAACATGTTTCTGTTTTCAAATTCATCTACAGACTAAAAAGTCTGACTTGTATTGAATTGGGAGTTGCCAGGTGTGTCGTATCATGTAATTTCTGAGTGGCCACATTTTTTTTAAAAAAAAAGATGCCTGTGTTGCTTGGCTGTTCTCTGGGTGCATGCCCCATTTGTACAAAATGATCATTTTTGAACAAACAAATTGGCAGGCAGGGATTTCCTATTGGTATAGGCAGAAACAAGTGAATTTGAGCTTTAACTGAGAATGCAAATATACTCATACCTTAGAAGTTGAATGGAATCCGTTCCGGAAGTTCTCGACTTCCAAAATGGTCAAAAACCAAATCATGGCTTCTGATTGGCTGCAGGAAGCTCCTGTGGCCAATCAGAAGCCGCGGAAGCCCCATCGGACGTTCGGCTTCCAAAAATAGTTCACAAACCGGAAAAATCACTTCTGGGTTTGCAGCATTTGGGAGCCAAAATGTCCGAGTTCCAGGGCGTTCAGGATCCAAGGTACGACTGAACGTGTGTGTGTATTTGTCTGGACTAATAAGGTAAATTTGAATGGAGATAGTGTTGAGTATGTTGAGTAGAGACATCACCTTGCCAACAAAGGTCCGTATAGTAAAAGCTATGGTTTTCCCAGTAGTGATGTACGGAAGTGAGAGCTGGACCATAAAGAAGGCCGATCGCCGAACAATTTATGCTTTTGAATTATGGTGCTGGAGGAGACTCTTGAGAGTCCCATGGACTGCAAGAAGATCAAACCTATCCATTCTGAAGGAAATCAGCCCTGAGTGCTCACTGGAAGGACAGATCCTGAAGCTGAGGCTCCAAGACTTTGGCCACCTAATGAGAAGAGAAGACTCCCTGGAAAAGACCCTGATGTTGGGAAAGATGGAGGGCACAAGGAGAAGGGGACGACAGAGGACGAGATGGTTGGATAGTGTTCTCGAAGCTACCAGCATGAGTTTGACCAAACTGCGGGAGGCAGTGGAAGACAGAAGTGCCTGGCGTGCTCTGGTCCATGGGGTCACAAAGAGTCGGACACGACTAAATGACTAAACAACAACAACAAGTGTTGATCCAAATGAGACCCAGCATAAACAGGGATAAACCCTCTGTTCATGTGCAGAATTTCATTTTTCCAGCTCACTTAGTTTCTTACAGATGCTATTTGCATGGATGCACTTCCACTGTTCCTGTAGCAACAAAATGGACTGCAGTCATTGAGAGCTGAAGCCACATTAGATCGATTAGTCTTTAAAGTACTGATGGAGAAAATAATGATTTCATATAACTATCATTTTGATGATTCCATTTTCTTTGGAGCCTATGGCTTAGCTAAACTGAAAAGTCCTGTGCCTACATTTTACACTATAGAACTAGTTGCTTTCAGGTACTGCATGTAGCAAATCTTCATTCCATAACACTGAAAAGAATCAACTTGTTAGAATCCATGGTGACCATTGCATTCATGAAAAGAAAATCAGCTAGGCATAGCGGTTGTGATTCATCTTGAATTGTTTTGTAGATAGATGAAAGAGGATATTGGGAGATATTTAATGAATAGGAAAATTAGTCAAAAGTTTTATTTTTAAAAATTGAGAAATGATTATATGTAATCACACAATACTATGATCTGGAGAGCTAAATAGTTTTGATTGGTTCAGGATGATGACACTGGCTTGCAACTGCTAAGATTGCTGTAATCTTTTGACTGCTAAATAGAAATCATGTGTGTGATCTGGGATGTATAAGAAACATTGCTTTGGATGTGGTTCTTTGCAGCTGCCTCCTTATTTATGAGAAATTGCTATTTCACTTGGAACATGCATCCTTGTCTGTTGAGGTTTCTGAGAGGGATATCTCCAGTCTTAGGAACCCCTTTTCAATTCCCCCAACAGTACCACAAGACTCTTTGCTGTTTTCCCCCCACAACAAACTTTCAAAGTTACCTCTGTTGAAAAGATTGTGATGGATATTTATTTTCTTTTTCTGCCACAGTTCACGTTTCCCAGAGTCACTATGCCACCCCCTCCTATGTGAACCCAGCATTTGGTTGTTTTCAAATTATTAAGATGAATGTATGTATTCCTTAATATGAAAAACAAATTCAGTTCGTGAATAGAGAGCGCGTCTGCTTTATTACTCTGGGACATCAGTTGTTCAGGGATTTAACCCATTTCTGGCATGGTAAACCCTCCACTGTGGTTTCTAGTCAGTCCTGAGAATTTTCCAGCCCTATCTCTTCTCAGTAGCTATGGGGTGGGAATTGGAGCAATAATACAAAAAAACATTTTATGACAAAATCCAGATAGGGGAAATGTCTCAGCACTCCTTGAGAGCCAAGAGATTTTATTTATAGTCCATTTTTCTTCCAAAGAGCTTGAGGTGACACACACAGAATCTTGAGTCTGTGGGAGGACTGGTTGTTGACAGGCAGATCAGGAATCCTTCACTTAAAAGTGAAGTTATATCTTAACCTTAATTATATCTTATTTAGAAAGACTGACTTATGCCCTCAAACACATGTTACTAAAATCCATTAATTTCAGCTCTGGTCCAGCATTGTCAAATTTAGTGGTTTAACTGATAAAAGAACAAGAATCAAAGTCCTTTGTTCAAGCTTAACCAAAATAAGGAATGAAAAATGTCAAAGCAATGATTTTTCAACATCAACTTTGCTGGACTGGTCGTGTTGTGCAGATGCCTGATTATCGTCTTCCAAAGCAACTATATTGCATACTTAAAGATGGAAAGTGTAATGCTGGTGGTCAACAAAAGAGGTTTAAAGACTCAAGGCAAATCCAAAAAAAATGTAGTATATACACCGACAACTGGGAAACACTGGTTTGCGAGCGCTCCAATTGAAGAACAGCTTTTACCAAAGGTGTCATGGGCTTTGAAGACACTCAAACTCAGGACGAAAGGGAGAAATGTGCTAAGAGGCAGACATGCTTGGCAAACCCTCACCATGATCAACTCCTGCCCGGAAATCTATGGCTCCACTGTAGAAGGATGTGTGGATCCAGAATTGGCCTCCACAGTCACTTACAGACTCACTTTTAAAACTGTGTTCATGGAAGACAATCTTACTCGGCTACGAGTGATCGCGAAAGAAGAAGAAGGAGGAGGAATAAAAAAATAAAAATCCACAAAGAGGCATTTAAAAGGCCTTGGACAGTCCATGGATGTGCTGTTGTCAGTTGCCCAACAGCAACTGTACTGAGGAAAGTTAAGTGCATATATATTGTTGAATAGGGTTAACCCCTTTGTATCAGGAGGTTAGGTGCTACAGCAACATTAGTTTGATAGAGGTGAAAATCCTTGACATTTTGCTCCAAGGGTTACTTTGAAATGGTGCAGTTACACACATAGATAAGGGGAGGAAGTATCTAGGTCATCTGGAAAATAGACAGAGAATTCTACTATAAAAGGTAAAGGGACCCCTGACCATTAGGTCCAGTTGTGACCGACTCTGGGGTTGCAGCGCTCATCTCACTTTATTGGCCTAGGGAGCTGGCATACAGCTTCTGGGTCATGTGGCCAGCATGACTAAGCCGCTTCTAGCAAACCAGAGCAACATACGGAAATGTTGTTTACCTTCCCGCCAGAGTGGTACTTGCACTTTGACGTGCTTTCGAACTGCTAGGTTGGCAGGAGCAGGGACCGAGCAACAGGAGCTCACCCCGTCGCGGGGATTCGAACCACCGACCTTCTGATTGGCAAGTCCTGGGCTCTGTGGTTTAACCCACAGTGCCATCCACTTCCCTAATTCTACTATACCAAGGTGCAAAAACAATTGCTAAGACCAGGAATCAGCAACCATAATTTTAAACCCCTTTTATGTTGCTTTTCATACAAGCAGTCAGCAAATGCTGGGCCTAAAAGGAGACCGTGGGCATCTTATTGGGTGATTATTAACATTCAATGTATGATTCAAGCAGTTGTGGCTATATAGAAGCAACATCAGTTTCTGTGATCTTCATGGATGCTTTCCAGCCTCTAAAATCATGGAAGCAGCTATAAGCTGAGTGTCCAACACCAACATTACTTTTAAGTATGTGAGAAGAATCCCTAGGACAACTTGCTTGAGCTAGAAATGTGACGGTCAAATCTGGTGCAACTTTCAAATATTTTATTTTAAATTAAAATAATTTTAAAGTAAAACAATATACTGCCTATTATTAATAATTAAGGCAGTTTACAGCAATAATAAATGCAACAGAAGCAGCAGCAACAACTATCTAAAATGAAATAAGTCATACTAACCCAAAATCCTGAGCGAAGAAATAGGTTTTCAATAAGCACCAGAAACAAATGATCTTGGTGTCTGATTTCTTAGCAGTTTTGCAAGCCGTGCCTTGCTGCATTTGTCTATAGAGTACCACACTGAAAACTGTTGAAAGAAGATTATTTGGGAGATAAACTCTTTTTTTAAAAGTCCAGCGTGATGTTTCTGAGAGTTCTATCTAACTAACTCATACTGAAAGCAATCTAACAACATAGTTATGACTAACTTAGGTGTCTGTGGGTTTGAGCATGACTTACTTGGATTTTTTTTTAAATGTGGAAATTAAAAGTTTTCCGTTATTGGATGTGATGGTTACATCTGAACATTGAAAGGGCATCATGCAGACTGCAAGGGAAATTTTAGGACACAGAAGGGGTAAGACATTCACGGTTAGGTGAATTATTTTTAACAGATTTTGCAAGGTTAAATGAAACCACATAGGACTTAGACATAATCCCTCACAAATACTTAAAGCTATGTTAATCTCTTTCCAAGTAGTGCCTGATCTGCTTTCCCAAACTGTGACTTTCACCAGGACCCTTAAAATCAAACATTTATTTCCTCTGTAACATTTAAGCCAATTACGTTATCGATCACTTTATTTTATGCGTAAAATTATATGCATATATTGTTCTCTGTCCAATAATCCCCAATTATTTTAGGCCTAACTTCCTCCACAAATCCTTACTTTGTATTTCATTAGCAATTTAAAACGTTTCCCACACTATCATTTGCTCCCCGCCCCATCTTCACATCCCCCCCTAAAAAAACAAATCTTCGGTATTCTAGTCTTAAACTAGTTGCATTCCAAGATTAATGTGGATTCAAAAATCGAGGGACAACTAAGACATGCTTTTAATTGCTTATTGGCTCAAGTCACAGAGACATTCTCTGGATTAGGATCATGACAAGAGGGGAAAGTTATTTTTTTTTAAATGCTTAAAAAAACCCCTTTTGATTCAGTTGCCCTCTTGCTGTGGTTCTTTGCCCTTAAAGCAGCAGTGGGAAATCTCCAAACAACTTCAGCCCATCAGGTCTATGAATCTGGCCCACGAGCCCAATTTGAGCAAAGCACACCCACCTGACATGAGGCACAAAAAAATCTGTTTTCTCTCATCTAAGCACTTAGTTTGATGATTGGAGATTTGGGGTCTCTTTTCTACCTTAGTGCTTAAGCACCACAACACTAACATTGGAGGCTGGTATCTCCCCGCTCAAACCTAGATAGCATCTTAAAAAGTAGAGACATCACCTTGCCAACAAAGGTCTGTATAGTTAAAGCTATGGTTTTCCCAGTAGTGATGTAGGGAAGTGTAAGCTGGACCATAAAGAAGGATGATCGCCGAAGAATTGATGCTTTTGAATTATGGTGCTGGAGGAGACTCTTGAGAGTCCCATGGACTGCAAGAAGATCAAACCTCTCCATTCTTAAGGAAATCAGCCCTGAGTGCTCACTGGAAGAACAGATCCTGAAGCTGAGACTCCAATACTTTGGCCACCTCATGAGAAGAGAAGACTCCCTGGAAAAGACCCTGATGTTGGGAAAGATGGAGGGCACAAGGAGAAGGGGACGACGGAGGACGAGATGGTTGGACAGTGTTCTCGAAGCTACCAGCATGAGTTTGACGAAACTGTGGGAAGCAGTGGAAGACAGAAGTGCCTGGCGTGCTCTGGTCCATGGGGCACGAAGAGTCGGACACAACTAAATGACTAAACAACAATCTCCCCGCTCTTTGATACAGGCTTGTCTCCAATCTTAGTGCTGTGGTGCCACAGTGCTAAGGCTGGAGGCAAGAGATACGTTGCATTATACTGTCAAAGGGAAGGTAGAGGCTTACCTTCTATTGTGCATAGGAAAGTGCTAAGTGAAATTATGAAGTTTGGAGCAGGATGTCATTGTGTGTTGACGGCACCGAGGCACTTCCGCCAAATCCTGCTGTGGTTTCCTCTGACTCATCTCCTGCATTGCTAGCGCTAGGTATCTCATTATTTACAGGCAGTGAGGATACGTAATGACAACCACAGCTGATTTCTCGGCCTGCGGTGTTCTTATCTAGTTGTCTGTGCCTTGAGCTTCAGGTTGTTTGGATCTTGAAATCATCAGGTGCACATATACTGATAATCGGCAAAGGAACGACAAGTTTTGGAGAAGCCTTTCAGGTGCATTCAAAGTCCAGAGAGAGACATAAATTGAAGTACAGAACACATTCCTTTTATAAGTGAGGTCCTTACTCTAAATGACTACATGAATGGGGGGGAAGAAGTGTGGGGGCCACACTATTTTACTATATACACAAAGCATGTGTTCAACCACCAAATCACACGCACACACACACACACACACACGGTTTCAAAGTTTGTTCTCAAAGCTATTGTACTACCAACCTTACTGTATGCTTGTGAAACATGGACCACTTATAAACGACATCTCCAACTCCTCAAAAAATTCCATCAATGATGTCTCTGAAAATTTTTACACATCACTTGGGAAGACAGGCAAACTAATGCCTGTGAACTGGAAGAAGCAAAGATCACCAGTGTCAAAGCAATGATTCTTCAACATCAACTTTGTTGGACTTGTCATGTTGTTCGGATGCCTGATTATCGTATTCCAAAGCAACTACAGTGGTACCTCAGGTTAGGTACTTAATTCGTTCCGGAGGTCCGTACTTAACCTGAAATTGTTCTTAACCTGAAGCACCACTTTAGCTAATGGGGCCTCCTGCTGCCGCCGCGCCGCCAGAGCAAGATTTCTGTTCTCATCCTGAAACAAAGTTCTTAACCTGAAGCACTATTTCTGGGTTAGAGGAGTCTGTAACCTGAAGCATATATAACCTTAAGTGTATGTAACCTGAGGTACCACTGTACTCTATTCCGAACTTAAAAATGGAAAGCGCAATGCTGGTGGTCAACAAAAGAGGTTCAAAGACTCTTTTGTGGCAAATCTTTAAAAATGTAGTATAAACACCGACAAGTGGGAAACACTGGCCTGTAAGCGCTCCAGTTGGAGAACCAAAGGTGTCATGGACTCTGAAGACGCTCAAACTCAGGACGAAAGGGAGAAACGTGCTAAGAGGAAGGCACGCTTGGCAAACCCTTACCATGACCAACTCCCACCCAGAAACCTATGTCCCCACTGTGGAAGGGTGTGTGGATCCAGAATTGGCCTCCACAGTCATTTACGGACACACTGTTAAAACTGTGTTTATGGAAGACAATCTTACTTGGCCACCAGTGATGGCCAAAGAAGAGAGAGAGAAAAACAACAACAACAACAACAATTTATTTGTACCCCACCCATCTGGCTGGGTTTCCCCAGCCACTCTGGGCGGTTTCCAACAAAGATTAAAATATATATTCAGGCACTGAACAATGACTCCACTCATATATAGCCTAATTCAGTTTATTTTTGTCAGCCTAATTCAGCTGGAGGCTATATGTATGTGGGAAGCAGGCATCCATATGATCAAACATAGCCACAGGCAAATAGGTGCCACATACATTTCTCCAGGAGCTGCATAGGTGTAGCCCTTTTTCTTTAAAAAAAAAAGCCAAAAACTCACCAGAAGGTTTGGACCAGTGTGTGCATGCATGTACAACACAGAAGATGACGTTAAGGAATTCAGTCCTAATAATGCAAATTATGCAGATCCATCCTTCGGAGAGAGCAGATACTTTTCAAAGCTTAATGAAGCAGGGCTGGATTCTGAAAAATCTGGTCCAGCATAAAGTGATGACAGAAGGAAATCTATTCCTGCATTGCTAATTCACTGCATTTCCTCACTGCTGCCTGAAAACTGGAGACCCCGGGCACTTCCTGCACAACCAGATTGCTGCATTTCCCTTCTTTGCACTGAGAAAGAGGCTTCCCTTATCAGCAGACGGAGAAGTAAAAGCTGGAAAAGGATTAGTGTGTGCATGTGATACAAAGAAAGTGGGGTGTATTTAGTATGCATATAAACCCTATAGAATTTTTTTTGTGTGTGATGTGCAATAATAATGTGTGTGCTTTGGTCCCACTTGCAAATAACATGCAACTTGCAACTGTTCTCCCTTCCCTGAGTAAATTTGGCTTTTGGGGGTGGCGAATAATCACCACCCGTGTTGTAAAAAACCCCCAGTGTTCTGGTTTAAACTATAGTGAACTGTAAGGGATCTAAGGATACTGTCAACTAAACTATACATAGATATATGTCCAGGAGAGACATTGCAAGGGCAGTTTCAGGTTCTTGGTGGGCCTGAGGAATCACAAAAGGAGTATTAGAAAAGGAATCTGTTAATGGACATCATGTTTTTCCCCTTTTTGGAGTAGCAAATGAATTAAGACATTCAAAGATGCAGCAGGTATTGTCTTCAATAGACACTTGGCATATGATCCAACTGGCCTTGGAATGAGGGGGTGAGAATGGGAACTGATCTTTGCCTGGTGTGGTTGGCAGATCTAATATGTGGGAAATTTGATGTTGTTGAAACAGGAGGGAAGAGGAGGGCAGATAGACAATGACACACACAGAGTGAGCATAGATAAATGAAAACAGACCCCATTATGTTTGTTTAAAAAAGGGTGGGCGCTGTGGGTTAAACCACAGAGCCTAGACTTGCCGATCAGAAGGTCAGCGGTTTGAATCCCCGCGACGCGGTGAGCTCCCGTTGCTCGATCCCTGCTCTTGCCAACCTAGCAGTTCGAAAGCACATCAAAGTGCAAGTAGATAAATAGGTACCGCTCCAGCGGGAAGGTAAATGGCGTTTCCGTGCGCTGCTCTGGTTCGCCAGAAGTGGCTTAGTCATGCTGGCACATGACCCGGAAGCTGTACGCTGGCTCCCTTGGCCAATAAAGGGAGATGAGCGCCACAACCCCAGAGTCGGCCACGACTGGACCTAATGGTCCCTTTACCTTTTTTAACTAACTAACTAACTAACTAACTAACTAAGGTGTCTAACTATTGGATATGCAACAGGGATAATGCTTCTCTAAAATATGTTATTTCATTGTCCTGTATTGAAAGATTTTTGGCAGAAGGTACTGAAACCATCAACAGATCTGTATGGAACCACCTTACATTTACAGAGCAAAATATCCTCTTGAATACCCAGCACATGGAACCTTACAAAAGGACAATACAAGTGGACTCTCCATGCCCTTACCACAGGAAAAAGACGGATACCGATGAATCGGAAAAATAAAAATGCGTCTCCCTTCTACAATTGGATTGAAGACTTATACAAACTCGCAATATATGAACAACTTGCATATAAACGCAGACTTGCCATGGACAAATTCATGGAATCCATTTAATAGGTTAAGATCTGGTGAAGTACAGTAACAACCTTGTAAAAGAGAGAAGGGAATGAAAATAGGCTTGCATCAAAGTCTAATCAAAAGTCTAGGCTAGGGAGGTGATGAATATGGTATTCTCAGCCGTCATCATTGTGCCTGCAGAGTTCAGCCTAGAAGAGGTATTCTGGATAGTGAATGGAGGGTTGTTTGAAAGAGAAATCTAGTGATCCAGTGCTCCAACGCACACTTTTAGATTCACAAATGAATCTGGAATACTCTGACTTTTTTGTAGCTCCATCCTAATGGGAGAAGTTACCCTGGAAACTGACTTAGACAGCCCAATTTCCTTCTGAACACAACTCCTATTATTAGCACTAATACAACTATGGAATAAAAGTCTATGAAAATCCTACATACAGAATCCCTGCCTTTTGCAACAATAAAATCAAGATTAACTTCTTCTGCCTAATACTAAGAAATCTTTAAGGCTCAGTTTTGATGAAATGGAGAATCTTTATTGTACTTGAAGATACAGAGAGAAAGAGAGCGCTCACAAATGAGTTTAGCAGTACCTTGAAGATAGTTACAGTCGGTGGTTTTGCTTTTTAAAATCTTTATTATATACAGAGTATGTACATGCCTCCATTGTAGGTCATAATATTTTTTTCAATTTGTACTTCTACAAAATGGATATTGCTGCCTCTATACATGTGCAATTCTAAATAAGCCCTGAGTAACTCTTAAAGCGCATTGAAATAGTCTAAATTTTTATTTTTGCAACTAAGGATCAGTCAATGATAGCGTTATAGCTTTATGGGGAAAAATAAGTTTAAAAAGTAAGATTCCATGCTGCATTTCTTTATGCCTAGCCGTGAGCACAATATGATACATAATATACAGTAACAATCCATATAATTAGAAAATGTGAAAAGAAGCTGACCTCATTCCCCCCTCCAAAAAAAGCTGTTGCTTCCTTTTCTTTTGAATTAATGGCAAATGTTTCACTCAAAATCTCAAGTCTTCGGATTACAATAATGTCCAGTTCTCTGCAGCTTATATTTTGTAAACATTCAAATTTAAGGTAATATGCGGAAGAAAATGCTATGATCAAATAGATAAAGTGCAGTTCTTGAGATACACAAGGCATTGTGCCAGTATTTTTTTTAACGGAACAGGAAACCTGCTTAAGATATAAGCTTGTCTGCCTGCTGAAAACTTAATCAAAATAACTTGGAAACAGTAATGGAAGGCTGTATCTCTCTGTATTGCCAGAGAACTTGTGCAAAGAACTTTGGCCATCAAATGGTCTCAACCGTGTGTGAAACTTGTATTGTTTCTCAGACCAATGTAAAGTAGAAAATTTCTAAAGTAGAACCCAGAACTAGGCAGAAGAACCATTAAAAATGCTGTTTTCAACAGTCAGTCGTTTGGGTTGGGCGGAAATTTTCCAGGAATGGCAACCCAGTTTTGTTGCTGAGTTCATGGAGCAGCAAGGAAGACAAGATAAAGTGTATTCTTCGGCTGGGAAGTGAGGCTCCCAATGGTTAACTTGTGCCATGGCTGCTGTAGTCAAAAACACCTTTCTTGAAGAATGACGAGAACTCACAGATAGCATGTTTTGAAAGGGCCAGACCCTCTTTGTTTACATGCAGTGGTGACGATGGAGAGTTGAGCATCACAGCAAAGAAATTTCTGAGGTATTCCTGCGGAGGGAGAGAAAAACAGAATCACAACTGTTATGCAGTGACTACTGCGCTTAGAGAAGCATTACAAATTACTAGAAAATTAAGAATCATACCAATTGAAATACAAAACCTTTAAAACTATTCATCTTGACTAAAATCTTAAACATTAATTAAAAATCTATCTTCCTTCTAAACATATCCCAATTTTCTACTAACAAATGTATTGCATGTTATATATCCAACTAACAAACCACTGAAATCCTATCCACCGATATAAATGGGTCTTCTCTTCAATCCTTTATCAATGTATTCTGCTCATTGTTTATTATTTTAAATATAACAATACAATAACTCATACTCCAAAACATGTGGCCCAGAATTAGTGGAATATTTTCCTTTCCCAACACTTTTCTCTTCCCCATAAAACTGGAACCCCTTCAAATGTATTTCCAGTGTCCCAGAATCCCAACCTCTAGATGCTCAAATCACATAAGACTAACTAAATTAACAAAAACAGAGGGGGAATATATATTTTCAGAGTGTCTCTGACAGTTGTCTTGGGTAATCACACACCTTTGACAAGAGGTTGAGGAAGTTGTGCCAGATATGTTCAAAGTTATTAAGATTCTCTCTTTCAAAATAAGCTGCTTTCTCATTGTCTGCATGACTCAAGAAGTTGTGAGACTTGTGATCTGCAGCTGGTTCCCTTTGGGCACTCCATTTGTGAAAGATCATTGTCTTGGCAATCTCTACTGCCCTTTGAAAACGCATTGTTCGATTCTTGCTTAGGCCTCCTCTTCTTCTTGGTCAACCGTATAAATCACTAAATAGTATCTTGTCCACCATATAGATGAATTTTATTAAGTACATTGGGTGTAATACGGTTTAATATTTGGAATGCCTAACCTGCCTTTTTCCTTAAGAATCCTTTGATTAATTCTTCTTTTTGCTATTTTCACCAAAAAATATACATGAAAGAAGTGTTTGCCACTTTGTCAAAACAACATTCTGAGCCATGAAATGAGATTTTTCATGTTTTATTTTAATAGCTCCATCTGTATTCATCTTTACTGTATTCTTTATCTTCTGAGGTAAATATAGCTTTGTTAACTTTAAAACAACATTTACCTCAGAAGATAAAGAATACAGTAAAAATGAATACAGTATTGAAAAGTCACAATGTTTGAGTTTTGTGAGGTATATAAAGATGCAAAATATCTAACAATGTGAAGTACATGAAGATTTGCGGTACTTCTTAACAGTGTTAGAAACTCAGATATAAATGGCTCATTAAACAATTACAGTCAACGAAACAGAACGCCTAGTTGCCATTTTAGGGCCAGGTGGCTTGAAAATCACTATTTTGCAATATGACTTTTCGGTTTCTGAATTTCGTTCTGATTGTGAAGGTAAAACAACATGGATAGAATTCTAAAGGATGTGTTGTTAGTGTGTGAAAACAGTCAAGATCTGAGTATGGTTGAGACATCAGGTACTATCCTGGCGCCCAGGCATCTTCATTTTGTCTTGTGGCTGATTGCCAGGTGCAAAATGTCCCTGGCAAATTTTGAACACTGTTTCTTAATAGAAATTGCTGTAAAAGTTGCATTCAGGGTTTTTTTTTTTATTGGTAGAATGAAATTCTTATGTCTACTATCTATCAGTTACCTATCTCCCAACTTTACAATATCCTGTGGATTTTGTACACTTCAAAATTTTCTAGTATCTTTATGGTGATCCCACTAAAAAAACAACAACCCAAAACACAACATCTAGTCTGGCCCTATGATAATGTCCTGCATTTCTCTTCCAATGCTTCAAGCTTGGGTTACAAGTGCTTGGGAAATATCAGTAAATGACCAGAAATTCCATGCTTTTGCATGGAATTTTGCAATATCAAGACCTGTTCTCTCTTTATTATAGCTAAATTTAGAAGAAGTTCGGACATTTTTTCATCTCTCACCATTGCCCCCTTGTTATGGGTAGCTTTGAGCACTGCAGAAATCCAGGAACTCTAACATCTGAAGAGGGAACTTGAAAATCTGCCCTAGAGAAAGATACAGAGACTCCAGATTCGTGGGCATTTTACTATGGGTAGATTATAGAGGATATACCAGAAAGTACAGATGAGCCTATCATTTGTGCATTTGCTCCCTGATACTTTTTGTGGCGTCCCGAATAGTGTGTAAAATTCACTGTAAATAATACCTTAAGAATTGCAAGTGACCAACTGTCATGGCATGAGGAGTATTGATGCAAAACGTATCTCAAACTCCTGGTGAAAACAATGTAATATCTGAGTGGAAAACGAGAGCATGTGAAATGCCCAAATGCCCATAAAATGTATGATGGAGATATAAATGAAGAGGTGAAATGTAAGCAGTGGTGATGGAAATATTATGTACAGTAAAAAGGATCAGGCTTGCTCAGTAACAGACTGGATAATAACAGCCTTGCTGTATCCCAGTGACACTGCACACTGTAATTGTGGACTCAGGGGAGAAAATAATCTATTTACTAAAGTATCCTTTGAAAAATGCACAGTTCAGAGAGTTACATGGAGCATCAAATTTATTTTGAGCAGCTTTCCCCAATAGAGTAGAAATTTCATCTTCCGGTGAAGTTTTTTCATGTAAACATGACTGACATGTCTAAATGCTGCTAAAGTTCTCAGAGGTTTATTACGCAAATACTTCAAAATGTTAAGCAAAGCGCATAGCTATTTTATTGGTCTTTTTTTTTTTACTGACTGTACTAACCTCCATACCAACATTTTGCTTTGAGATGCACAACAAAATCCCTGTAAAATGAATGTCAACAGACAAAACAGTCATTTAAATCAGGGAACAGATTTGTCAGCCTGAGTTATGACTAGTTCGCAGAGCAAGGCCCCTCTGTTTCATGCTCATTCCCTCTATAAGACAACGAAAACACAAATGTCGGATGCAGCAGCTGAGCAACGGGCATTTCAAAAATGGGTACCGCTGGGTAGAGAGTTAAAGTAGCTAAACTGCAATAACAGTTTGATTTATTTATTTTTATTTAAAGGATTTTTATCCCACCCTCCTGGCAATAAGCATTATATACAACTTAGGAGAATGCACCCATGTCTTACTCCGAAGATGTATTTACAACACCAACGTTTTAAATATTATAGAGCAGCGTTTTGTTTCAATTTTCTTTGGATATATGCTACTACCAATTTTTTTTGGGGGGGACCCTATGTTCTGAAGGGATGGCATAGTTGGCAGAGCATGAGACTCTTAATCTGAGAGTCATGGGTTCAAACCCCATTTTGGGGGAAAGGGGTTGGACAACAACAACAACAACAACAACAACAACTATTATTATTATTATTATTATACCTCGGGTTATGAACTTAATTCGTTCTGGAGGTCTGTTCTTAACCTGAACCCGTTCTTAACCTGAGGTACCACTTTAGCTAATGGGGCCTCCCACTGCTGCAGCGCTGCCGCCATGCAATTTCTGTTCTCATCCTGAGGTAAAGTTCTTAACCCGAGGTACTATTTCTGGGTTAGCGGAGTCTGTAACCCAAAGTGTTTGTAACCCAACGTGTTTGTAACCCAAGGTATCACTGCATTATTATACCCCGCCCATCTGGCTGGGTTTCCCCAGCCACTCTGGGCGGCTTACGATACATCAAAAATTGTAAAACATTAGATATTAAAATTTTCCCAATACAGGGGACCCCGTGGTCTCTTCCAACTCTACAATTCTTTGAAAAGATCCATATCGCCTTGGAATGAGGATGGATTTATCAGGTTAATCAATAAATGAATTAGGGATGTCTATAGTTGGATGTTCTTCAATTCCTCTGACATGCATCGTCAGCTTTGCTGGTTTTTCCTTGCTGCCCCTTTTGCTTTACGGCAATTTTTCTTTTTAAAGCGTTCTATCCACTTACAAAGACGGCTGACAACCTACAAAGAGGTTTTAGCGCCGAACGTGGACTTGTTTCAAACTTTTATTTGAGGCTCAAAGCTGCTGCTGCTGTTGCACAGAGCGTCTGACCCAACATTTGAAAAGGTGACAGCAGTACTGCCCTTTTGGTTTGTCCCACATAATTATGCCCTTTAGACAGCCAAACCAGATCCATACGGTGTGAGCTATGCTTAGTTCAAAGCTTTAACCTTCCAATTCAAACACCCCTGAGAGGAAGAGAAAAGAAGCACGAGTAAGCCTGCGAAAACTCAGACCTGCTTCTTTATTGACTGGGCTGAGCAACTTTGCTCAAGTGTTAATTAAGGCAAGAGTGATATTGTAGCCATTTAAAAACCTTATTGGAAGCTATTTTAATAGACCTGTACTCTTTAACTCTAGCCTGGTGTTCATATGATAGGCAATATTTCAGCAGAGAGATGTCATTCTAATGTTTTCTGCACCATCTCACATCGTAGGGGCTCGGGTTTTCAGGGTATGTAGCATAAATCCTGGTTTAATTTAAAGTTATTAAAATTATAAAAAAAATTAATGGCTTTGGGCAATTCAAAGAGGAGCCGTAATTGCTCTTCTGGTTGTGACATATTAACAGGGAACGTGGCTCGCTTGCACTGTTCTCATAATCTATTGCAAATCTTTGAAGTCAACAGCACAGTTTAACTAAAGGTTTTCTTTTTTAAAATCATGATTACCAATACCTGAACTCTTTTAAAGCTTACATGGTACAAACTACTCTGAAGAAAAGGAAAGTTGGGTTTGCAACTGACAAAACCAGCTCTCTGAGGTTGGATTAATTTCTGCCTCCAGTTTACAGAAAGCATCAAGGAATAATGAAAGGAGGTGGGGAAATTGAGGGTTTGGATAGATTTTACAAACCCAACATGCATGTGAACATATGAAGCATATGAAAATGAACGTGTGAAAAAAAACTCTTTGTCCTATCTCTAGCTGGTTAGGAACCAATGTTTTGAAGTATTTACAACATGAGCAATACATTGAAAAGCTCTAGATTTAAATCTAGGTATAGTATGCATATGGGACGTGGGTGGCGCTGTGGGTTAAAACCACAGAGCCTAGGGCTTGCCAATCAGAAGGTCGGCGGTTCGAATCCCCGCAACAGGGTGAGCTCCCGTTGCTCGGTCCCTGCTCCTGCCAACCTAGCAGTTCGAAAGCACGTCAAAGTGCAAGTAGATAAATAGGTACCGCTCCAGCGGGAAGGTAAACAGCATTTCCGTGCACTGCTCTGGTTCGCCAGAAGCGGCTTAGTCATGCTGGCCACATGACCATGCTGTACGCTGGCTCCCTCGGCCAATAAAGCGAGATGAGCGCCGCAACCCCAAAGTCGGTCACGACTGGACCTAATGGTCAGGGGTCCCTTTACCTTTACCTATAGTATGCATGCCCGCCAATAAGAAGAATCAGAATAGTAATTACAGTCGTACTTTGGAAGTTGAACAGAATCCATTCTGGAAGTCCATTTGACTTCCAAAACATTCGGAAACCAAAGCGCAGCTTCTGATTGGCTGCAGGAAGCTCCTGCAGCCAACTGGAAGCCGCAAAAGCCCTGTCGGATGTTCGGTTTCCAAAGAACGTTTGCAAACTGGAATACTCACTTCCGGGTTTGCAGCATTCGGGAGCCAAAATGTTTGATTTGCAAGGTGTTTGGGATCCAAGGTACAACTGTATTATTTCTACCAGTACTTTTAAGTCTGCATTTCTACCAATGGTTGTTCTGAACTGGAGAGAAGCCATTGTCTGTAACAGCATAGCTGAGAGTTTGCTTTTTCACACCCAAGGTAAAACGTAACCTTATAATCTGCAGGTGTTTCTTGCACTGATCTCTGCTTTAGTGAGTTTCCCAGTGCACCTCACATTATGTTGAGCCTTACGAAACCGACTAAACGTCCAAGCAAGTAAAGTTCAAGCTGCAATAATTATCTACAGTAATGCTTCCTACTACACCCATATATAATATATAACATTAAATTCATTCAGAATCCCTAGGATTTAATATTCCTTACAGCACACACAAGCAATAAAGCTTATGTTCTTTGCCACAGATGAAAACAGCAGCAACACTATTTAAACTGTTGGGGGAACCTAGAATTTACAGGGGTTTTGTAGTTTTGTGAATCTGTTTTTTTTAAGGGATGTGTTAAGGCCCTGTTTGAAAAGTTCAGAATATGCCTGGCTAGTGAAGGAAATCCATCTTTCCTCTTGAGCACTAGTTAAAACAAGTCTTGTCAAAATCCATTCGCAGACAACAACAAAGGAATTGAATTTCCTACGCATCTCTGGGTCAGCAGTGACAGGATGTCATTTGCTGGAGTGGTCCTGGCAAACGGCTAACCCAACTGCTTGACATGCATCACCCTCAACTTCCTTTGGTGAAATCAAAAACTGAGGGATGATTGATAAGGTTGCTCCGAAAAGGGACAAGACCAAAGTGCATCTTGCGTCCTTGCCTGAGTGGTCGCTTTATTGATACACTTGAGCTCTGAACGTGAAAATCACAGTTTGAAAGCTATACAGGTACACAGCCCCGGTGCAGACTGGCAAGCACATTTGAAAAATTTGCTCTGATCTGACAGCAAAGGAAATTAAATAAGGTTAAACTGGAAAACAATGTATTTTTCCCCCAGAAACACACCAATATTAGTCACTTCATCCTCCTTTTCCTCTAAAATGAAAACCATCTGCAGCCAAGTTGAGATTTCTAGCATATAAATCATACCGTGCCAGTTTCAAAAAAGTTAATATATGACCAAAATGAAAAAAAAGTAGCAATTTAGTAATCTTTTAAAATGTCAAACTGGCTGAGTCAAAGAAGCAAAAACGAAAGGGAAAAAAAGAGGCGCAGTAACAACAGAGGCCTAAAACTGGAGAAGCCACGCTAATAAGGTGCTGCCTTAAAGCAATTCTTGCAAAGCTCTGTAACTGGAAACACAAACAATTTTCTTAATAATTTTTTGTCAACTGACATCTAACTAGCAGTTTTGACAGCTCTTCCTAACTGAGCACAGTTGCATAAAATCCCACCAGAAAAACAAAACTGTTTCCCTTACTACTGTTTTCAGAAGGGTTCCCTCTCTCCTTGATTTGACTGGATTTCCCCCCACATTTTATCTGAAGATAAATAAACTAGGGTAAGGCATATGAGCAACTACAGTGATTAACATCTTGCCTAAATGATTGTATTTAGGGAAGAGCCATGACAAGTTTGTTCCTGCAAATGCCATGTGCCGCTCAGTGCTTCAGGATAGGGGGCCGCTTTGCATTGTTCTGCTTCAGGCAAGTCTTCTCTTTGCACCTGGTTTTCTGAAGCTTTGGGTGTCTCCTTACTTGGTGTCTTAAAAGGCACATAGGCGGCAAGTGTCCAAGGCAGGAGGAATAAATGCTGCACCACAGCCCCACAAAAGAGCACTGACCCCCACTGGTTTTCTGAAGGCAGCAGCAACATCTTTGATATTGGGGTTTGGGAAGCTGCTACGATACCTACGAAGCTTTGAAGCTCTGGGATCAGCCCAAAGTGAATGGCCAACCCCTACAAACAACCATCCAAGTGCTAAGGTAAAGGTAAAGGGACCCCTGACCATTAGGTCCAGTTGTGGCTGACTCTGACATCTCGCTTTAATTGGCCAAGGGAGCCGGCATACAGCTTCTGGGTCATGTGGCCAGCATGACTAAGCCGCTTCTGATGAACCAGAGCAGAGCACGGAAACGCCGTTTACCTTCCCGCCGGAGCGGTACCTATTTATCTACTTGCACTTTGACGTGCTTTCGAACTGCTAGGTTGGCAGGAGCAGGGACCGAGCAACAGGAGCTCACCCCGTCGTGGGGATTAATACAAAAGGGCTGACCAATAGGCTTGAAGAAACCCCAATGATTCAGATTATTCAATGACAAACTGATAATGACAAGCTGATAATCTTTGGGGTACAGAAGTGGACATAATCCAAAAAGGGTGAAGGAGTCTGGGTAGAAAACAATATTGCCTTACTTCCCCACCCTCCCCATATAAAAATCATTCTGCGGTGTGTTTTGTTATGATGGCATGTCACCGAACTGAATCCTGAGGATGAAATGCCATTCGTTTCTGCAAGCAAGCTCCATTGCACGATCTTCTTTTACAACTGTCTACTGCTAGGCATCAATGTGATGCTGTTTATATAATAACTCGACTCTTCAATCTGATAAAACTAGTAGCATATGCCCTTCAGAGCCTTAAGCAACTCGGTTTGATGTACTGCAACATTCGTGGCATTTGTTTATTCCTTTATCTTGATGTGTAGGCAGCAAATGAAAGCCAGGATAGAGATTCAGGAAGTCTAGTGTTTCAAAGGTC